AGAGACACAAAAAACCATTCAAACAATCAATAAATCCAGGATCTGTTTTTTGAAAAGATAAAAAAATAGACCACTAGCCAGACTTATGAAAAAGAAAAAAGAGAATAATTGAATAGATGCAATAAAAAATGATAAAGGGGATATCACCACTGATTCCACAGAATACAAACTACCTTCAGAGATTATGACAAACAACTCTATGCACATAAACCAGTAAATCTGGAAAGAATGAACAAATTCCTGGACAATTACACCTCCTAAAGACTAAACTAGGAAGAACTTGAATCCCTGCATAGACCAAAACAAGGTTTGAAGTGGAGGCAGCAATTAATAGCCTATTAACCAAAAAAAGCCCAGGTCCAGATGGGTTCACAGCTGAATTCTACAAGACATGAAAAGAGGAGCTATTACTATTTCTTCTGAAACTATTCCAAACAATACAAAAAGAGAGAATCCTCCCTAACTCATTTTATGAGACCAATATCATCCTGATACCAAAACCTGGCAGAGACACAACTAAAAAGGAATTTCAGGCCAATATCCAGGATGTGAACATCAATGCAAAAATCTTCGATAAAATACTGGCAAACTGAATTCAACAGCACATCAAAAAGCTTATTCGTCAAAGCATATCCAGGATTCATGCCCGGGATACAAGACTGGTTCAACATATGCAAATCTGTAAACATTATCCATCACATAAACAGAACCAAAGACAAAAACCACATGATTATTTCAATAATGCAAAGAAGACCTTCAACAAAATTCAACAGCCCTTTATGTTAAAACTCTTAATAAATTGGGTATTGATGGAAAGGATCTCAAAACAATAAAAGCTTTTTGCAACAAACCCATAGCCAATATTATACTGAATAGGCAAAACTGGAGGAATTCCCTTTGAAAACTGGCATTAGATAGGGTGCCTTCTCTCACCATTCCTATTCAACATATTATTGGGCGTTCTAGCCAGAGCAATCAGGCAAGAAAAAGAAATAAATGGTATTCTATTAGGAAAAGAGGAAGTCAAATTGTCTCTATTTGCAGACAACATGATTGTATATTTAGAAGAGTCTCTCATCTCAGCCTCAAATCTCCTTAAGATGATAAGCAACTTCTGCAAAGTCTCAGGATACAAAATCAATGTGCAAAAATCACAAACATTCCTGTATACCAATAACACACAAACAGAGAGCCAAATCCTGAGTGAAATTTCATTCACAATTGCTACAAAGAGAATAAAATACCTAGGAATACAACTAACAAAGGACATGAAAGACCTCTTCAAGGAGAACTACAAATCAATGCTCAAGGAAATGAGAGAGGACACAGACAGATGGAAGAAACATTCCATGCTCATGGTTAGGAAGAATCAATATTGTAAAAATGGCCATACTGTCCAAAGTAATTTATAGATTCAATGCTATCCTCATCAAGCTACCATTGACCTTCTTCACAGAACTGGAAAAAACCACCTTAAACTTCATATGGAAACAGAAAAGAGCCTGCATAACCAATACAATCCTAAGCAAAAAGAACAAAGCTGGAAGCGTCACACTACCTGACTTCAAACTATGCTACAAATCTACAGTAATCAGAACAGCATGGTACTTGTACCAAAACAGACATATAGACAAATGGAACAGAACAGAGGCCTCGGAAGTAATGCCACACACCTAGAACCATCTGATCTTTGAGAAACCTGACAAAAACAAGCAATGGGGAAAGGATTCCCTGTTTGATAAATGTTTTTGGGAAAACTGGCTAGACATGTACAGAAAGCTGAAACTGGACCCCATTCTTACACCTTATATAAAAATTAACTCCAGATGGGTTAAAACTTTAAACACCATAAAAACCTTAGAAGAATACCTAGGCAATACCATTCACAACATAGGCATAGGCAAAGACTTCATGACTAAAACACCAAAAGTAACGGCAACAAAAGCCATAATAGACAAATGGAATCTAATTAAACTTAAGAGTTTCTGCATAGCAAAAGAAACAATCATTAGAGTGAACTGGCAATGAATAGGAGATGGTATCTCAAAACCACATTGAGATACCATCTTACTCCATTTATAATGCCAGCATTAAAAAATCTGGAGACAACAGTTGCTGGAGAGGATGTGGAGAAATAGGAATGCTTTTTTACTGTTGGTGGGAGTGTAAATTAGTTCAACCACTGTGGAAGACAGTGTGGTGATTCCTCAAGAATTTAGAAATAGGCCATTTGACCCAGCAATCCCATTACTGGGTATATACCCAAAGGATTATAAACCTTTCTGCTATAAAGATACATGCACACATACATTTATTGCAGCCCTGTTACAATAGCAAAGACTTGGAAACAACCCAAATGACCATCAAGGGTTGACTGGATAAAGAAAATGTGGCACATATACACCATGGAATACTATGCAGCCATAAAAATGGATGAGTTTATGTCCTTTGCAGGGACATGGGTGAAGCTGGAAACCAGCATTCTCAGAGAACTTACACAAGAACAGAAAACCAAACACTGCATGTTCTCACTCATATGTGGGTGTTGAACAATGAGAACACACCGACACAGGGAGGAGAACATCACATATTAGGTCTGTTGTGGGGTGGGGGCTAGGGGAGAGATAGCAGGGGGTGGGGAGATTGGGGAGGGATGACATTAGGAGAAATACCTAATGTAGGTTATGGAGTTATGGATGCAGCAAACCACCATGGCATGTGTATACCTATGTAACAATCCTGCAAGATCTGCACATGTACCGCAGAACTTAAAGTAAAATAAGAAAGAAAGAAAGAAAATTTGAAAAAAAAAAAAAGATCATAACCCATTATATAAACTGCTAGTTGTCTAAATATGTGTCAATATTTTCATTACAGTTATTATAACTTCTGTTTCATGAACAATGAAATTGGGTACTGAGCTTCTTGCATAATCTCCTCCTGAAATATTTCTGGAATCATTTAGATGTTTTTTTGTTTGTTTGTTTTTTTGAGACTGAGTCTTACTATTTCACCTAGGCTGGAGTGCGTGATCTTGGCTCTCTGTAACCTCCACCTACAGGGTTTGAGCTATTCTTGTGCCTCAGCCTCCCAAGTAGCTGGGATTATAGCTGTGAACCACCACATACAGTTATGTTTTGTATTTTTAGTAGAGACGGGGTTTTTCCATGTTGACCAGTCTGGTCTCAAATTCCTGGTTTCAAGTGATCCACCATCTCCGCCTCTCAAAGTGCTAGAATTATAGGCATGAGCCACCACCCCCATCATTTGATAATGGATATTTTGTTTCTCTTCTAACCAAGGGTTTTTTTTTGTCTGTTTGTTTGTTTGTTTGTGGTAATGTAACCACTGTGTTAATAGAATGAATATTTCAAGAGTCCCTAACCAAAATAAACCCTATAATGAGAAGTCCAAACCAGCTTTATCCATTTTCGGTCCTATCTTTCTCAGGGCCATTAAAGAGGACTATTTGTTTCCTCATATATATTGAATGAAGTCTTAGGTAAAATGGATATTTCTATGTTAGTTCTTGTTGTTTTTCATGCCAATACTTTTTTATTCCCTAAGTAAGTCATACGTAATCCCAAAGAGAGATATACAGGGAGTCACTGCCAGTAAGCAATCCACATGGCATTCTAAAATGGCCTCTATGAACAGATGACTAAGGCTCTTAATTAGGTGAAGCCCAGTCTGAAAAGGCTCCTGTTTACCTTAGCAGGAGTTCCCTTCTAGAAGCTTCCCCACACATGAAGATTTCTGATTGAAATTATCCACTATTTTTTTTTTTTTTAATTAAAGAACACTGAATTCCAGCCTTGGAAACATCTTGAGCTGAAGCTTCTCTAACCACATAACAATAGTACTAATAATGTATCCAAAAATGAATTTAAAGTTATAGAAGGGAGTATATTTTATCATATTGACAAATTACATGTTGATGCTTTTTATTTTCATTGCAAAATTTTCATTGATCTATTCTTTTTTATTCTTTGAGACAGAGTCTCATTCTGTTGCCCAGGTTGGAGTTCAGGCGTGTGATCTCGGCTCACCACACCTCCACCTCCTGGGTTCAAGTCATTCTCGTGCTTCATCCTCCCGAGTAGCTGGAATTGCAGCCATGCCCTACCACGCTCAGGTAATTTTTGTATTTTTTAGTAGAGACAGAGTTTTGCCATATTGACTATACTGGTCTCGAACTCCTGACCTCAATTGATCCGCCTGCCTCAGCCTCCCAAAGTGCTGGGGTTACAGGTGTGAGCCACTTTGTCTGACCAAGAAACTAATTATTGAGGTTCACTAGCCATAATCCCAATCAAAATAGACCAAAACATTACTTGACAAATTTTGAGATGGCAAGAAGATTGTAAGGATCAGCACCAGGCCTCGGGTCAAAAGTTCAGAATTTGAATCCTGACTAAATCTGAGCTGTGAATCTGCCTCTTTCTATCACTCAGAGTAAGCCAAACATGTGAGGCTTCAGTTCACTCACCTGGTAAAATATAAAAGTACTGTATGCTTAATGTACCCGTTGGGATAGTGGATGAAAAATAGAGTTACAAGTTTTCTTTTGAGGTAAGGTAGGATTTTCACATTGCTGGTTTTGAAAATTAAACATATAAGATCGTTTTAAATTAAAAGAAAGTTGCAAGGAATTATAAACTCTGAAATTATATTTCTATACTTTAAATTCTGGTTTCATAAAATACAGACACTATAGTAAACGTATTTAGAAGAATTGATGGAATGAGAATTAAGATGGTATCAACTATATACATATATATATATATATATATATATATATCTCACTAGAATCTCCTATCATGAATTCTGGATTCCTATTGCCTTAAACCTTGGCAGTTATACTAATCTCTGTAAACACTACTTCACTTCTAAATATCACTAATATGGATCAAATTTTTCTCATTAGTAACTTTTGGCAAGTAAATTAGATTGGTGATTCTCAAAGTATGTTAACAATATTATTTTTATTTTTATTTTTATTGGCTGAGCACAGGGGACTTTATTGATGGTACACGACAAGGTGGGGTTCCCTAGGCCTCTCCCTCTTCAAGGGGTCTGCATGGAAACTGTGAGGAGGGGCAATTCAGTGTGGTGGGGGACTCTGTGGCAGGGACTCCCCAGCAGTGAGGGCCTCTCTTCCTTTCATGCTCTTGCTGGGGCTGGTGGTCCAGGGGTCTTACTCCTTGGAGGCCATGTGGGACATGAGGTCCACCACCCTGTTGCTGTAGCCAAATTCATTTTCATACCAGGAAATGAGCTTGACGAAGTGGTCGTTGAGGGCAATGCCAGCCCCAGCATCGAAGGTAGAAGAATGGGTGTCGCTGTTGAAGTCAGAGGACACCACCTGGTGCTCAGTATATCCCAGGATGCCCTTGAGGGGGCCCTCCGATGCCTGCTTCACCACCTTCTTGATGTCATCATATTTGGCAGGTTTTTCCAGACGGCAGGTCAGGTCCACCACTGACACGTTGGCAGTGGGGACACGGAAGGCCATGCCAGTGAGCTTCCCGTTCAGCTCGGGGATGACCTTGCCCATGGCCTTGGCAGCTCCAGTAGAGGCAGGGATGATGTTCTGGAGAGCCCCACGGCCATCACGCCACAGTTTCCTGGAGGGTCCATCCACGGTCTTCTGGGTGGCAGTGATGGCGTGGACAGTGGTCATGAGTCCTTCCACGTTACCAAAGTTGTCATGGATGACCTTGGTCAGGGGCGCTAAGCAGTTGGTGGTGCAGGAGGCATTGCTGACGATCTTGAGGGTGTTGTCATACCTCTCATGGTTCACGCCCATCATGAACATGGGGGCATCAGCAGAAGGGGCAGATATGATGACCCTTTTGGCTCCCCCCTGCAAGTGAGCCCCAGCCTTCTCCATGTTGGTGAAGACGCCAGTGGACTCCACCACGTACTCAGCATCAGCATCGCCCCACTTGATTTTGGAGGGATCTCACTCCTGGAAGATGGTATTGGGATTTCCATTCATGACAAGCTTCCAATTCTCAATTCTCTCAAATTCTCTCAATTCTCTCAAATTCCAGTGCCATGGAATTTGCCATGGGTGGAATCATACTGGAACATGTAGACCATGTAGTTGAGGTCAATGAAGGGATCATTGATGGTGACAATATCCACTTTACCAGAGTTAAAAGCAGCCCTGGTGACCAGGCGCCCAATATGACCAAATCCATTATCTCCGACCTTCACCTTCCCCATGGTGTCTCAGGGATGTGGCTGGCGATGGAAGACAAGATGCGGCTGTCTGACGAACAGGAGGAGCAGAGAGCCGTATGTTAAGAGTATTATATGTACTAATCCAACTAGAGGTACCCACCAGAATAGTTTGGAAATTTTAACATGATATTTTTAGCTTAAAGCTATGTAAGATAAATTCAAATTCATATCCTAAAATATCTGAAAAGTCATAAAGTAAATAATCCAGTTTACTATTTGATTAACCCAAATTTTCTCCAAAATGCTTTGACCATGGAATTCTTTTCTAGAGGTAACATGTATTAACATAATGTAGTTGACCCTTTACTTGTCTGACCCAGACCCTATCACTCTTGCAGTTTTACTGCCAGTTTCTCCAAGGGCCAGCATCTGAATCATTTTCTTGTGGATTTTCTTTGCCTCCCCTACATGTTCCTTTGCCAAGGCTTTCCTTAAGATGGCTTTACCTGCCTACCTTGCAGAAAGAAGTGCTGGGAATTAATACTCTCAACTTCCAAACAGCATCTAAGAAGAGATAGTGCACAAATACCCTAGGTCTCTCCCAGTTTGTGTGGTGTGTTTTACGTTGGCTTACAAAGTTTTCCATGAGGTATTAACCTCCAGTACCCACAGTGGTAGGAAGGTTAAAAAGATAATCTATCTTGGCTGCCTTTCTTCTAGTCTCACTCTTCCACCACTGGTATTCCTTTTACATCCTAAACAAGCTGCTTGTACTTGAATTCTTGCCTCTGGGCATACCTCTGCAAAATGCACTGAGACACATATATAGGAAACCTAATGCTTCCTGCTCTGCTTCTTAACGACCCAAATATCTGAACAATTACTTTTGAAAACCTCTCAACACAAATTTCCAGGTTTATGCATCCTGAGCTCTTTCCATTATATTACTATACTCTTTTCATATTTTGTAAAAAGTTAAAGTTTACTGACATTCTGTCTTAGGCGTTTTAAGTGCTGGGTCCATTAAATTCTGTCAAAGCAAAAATTTTACTAGGCAAATTAAACAGGCAAGGAAGACTTTTTTCAAGTCTACTGTAACCAGGAAGAAAGACTGAATTCAATCCTGCTGAAACAAAATATGGAATGTTTATGCGAACAAGTAAAAAGCACTGGATGACTTTGAAGACAGGTTGGTCAATGAGATGTGGAGATCACATTTGGTTATAACCGAGTCTGTAATTGTTTTCTTCTGTGATCTGGCCATCCATGTTTGCTAATTGGTTAGGTTCCTACCCTCTTACTGAGACTATTTATTTCAATGTTTACATTTCAAAGAGATAGTTCCCAGGTAATTAAAGAAAACATTTATTTGGCTGTAAAATTGCCAAGAGACATGGAGATGATTTATATACGCTTCAAAGGGGTAGTGAAAAAACGTACAATTGCAAGTTTTTCTTAAAGCAAATACTCTAAGATAAAGACAAGTCAGGAGCCTATAGTCAGGAAGAAACCTGTCTAAAGTTTAATCAAACTGAGGTGAATGCTAATGTACACTTAGCTAATTCCTATAAATGAGTATCCAAAGATACGCTTTTCTACGTTTCCCTTATGAAGTGGTCAAAGATAGTGTAAGAATTGTTCAGATTTGTTCCTCATTAGGTATGTGACCCTGGAACATTAAACCTCTCTAAGCCTCACTGACAAAATACTGATATTAATCTATATTTTCTTTGGTTTGATTATAATGATCAAAATAAAAAAAGTATGAAAAGTTTTTGACATACTTTTTTAGCTCGCTAGGGATGCCACAACAAAATAGTACAGATTTAGGGTCCTAAACAACAGCTGGTGTGTGCTATTTAATCCCTAAAGAAAGAAATTTATTTTATCACAATTTTGGGGGCTGGACATCCAAGAATGCTGCCCCCAAGATTGGTTTCTGATAGATCTTTCTTTTTGACTTGCAAATAGCTATTTTCTGACTGCTGTGTCCTCATGGCCTTTCCTCTGTGTAAAGGCATTCCTGGTGTCTCTTCTCATATGCACAATAATTCTACTGGATAGTGGCTCTATCTTATAACCTCATTTAATTGTAATTACTTCATTAAAGGTCCCATCTCCAAATATATTCACATTAAGGGTTAAGGCTTCAACCCATGAATTTTGTGGAGACACAATTAAGGCCGTCACACTTAGTTTCTGGACCATAATAAGAAACCAATATCTAGTATCTATTATCATTCACAAACATACAATAATTGGACATTTTGAATAAAACATACCCCTAAGTTATGTGTTAAGTAGGTCTGAGGAGCACAGGATATAAGGTCTTTGGAAGCAAACAGCTCTACTCTAAAAGTAGTTATAACTTAGAGGGAGGCATTTTAGGGACAACAAAGTTGAAAATGGAAATTTTCTGATGAACAAATTATTTAGAGAAAACAACTTATTTCTAATTTCTCCTAAATTTTGGGACCATCCTTAGACCCTTAGAGTAATTCATATGATTTTCAAAGCCTTTTTAATGTGAGGTGAGACAATGTTTTTAGTCACTGTTCAGTCTCACACCAGGTTCAAGGTATTTTCAGCAATTTGATAATACAATCAGTAAAACAAAGTACATGCTAACATTCCCAGTCACTGATGAGTTTAATGCCAAATAAGGCAGTTAAATATATACCCACTCCTTCCTTCATGCTGATCTAGTATATTCAGTAACCCCTGCCTGAACTTGTCTTGAGACAAAGCCATTCAGCAGTTTTTGATGGTAACATAATGTCACAGATGTGATTGGTTTTGTAATCTTTGTCAAATTAATAGTGTGCAAACATTGCAGAATAATACAGTGTAACACAGAGTCAGTGAGGCATGTGCTGTATGTTGTATGCTGTATGTTTTGAGGTGGGAGGACACCTCAAAACTCCCTTGCAATCATATCCCAACAAACACTTGTGAGAAAACCTGCAAAGAGAGGCTGGAGAGGTGGGAGTTGGGGTAGTTTTACCTTCAGGATATTAAGTATTTATATAAAAAGAGGATAGAGGAAATGCCTTGATTTGTTTACTGCTTCTCAGATTTCATTCCTGACAATTCTTCCTTACAATGAAAGGAAATAAAATGAGGTGGGGAAGAATAAGAATGAGAAGTAAGACAAAAAGTTTGAAAAATTAGTTGTGGTTTTCTGAAACAAAATTAGGGATACCAGATATCTGGACCCCTGACAGCTTCATTTATTATATCTCTGGTATTGTTTATCCCATTAGCTAAATGAATTAAGCACTTCAATTAAAAGTCTCCTGACTGCTGATCAATCAACATGATTTTCAGAGTGGTTAAATTAATCTCTAAGGAAACATCAAATTCGATTAATGCTGTTATTTGGCTCATTCACACACACACAAGCCCAGCATATATTCACATGCACACACACACATACTGATTACAAATGTCATTACTTTGGTATCTTAAGGTTAACTCTCTCAGATATTATGTCAAACATTTTGCACACTCTTTTTCTTTAAAAGTCACAACTTTATGACATACATAGGTAATATTACTTACTTAATTTTATGAATGAGGAAACTGAGACTTAGTATGTCTCTTACTTGACTGTAGTCCCCAGATTAATGAACTGAAGATTTATTATTTTAGCCTATTTCTGTCTGATTCTGAAACCACTACTGGGAGAACGAGTTTCGTTATGAAGAGTATTGAGTCAGACTGCATATTTTTGAATTTGGAATACAGTAATTAGTATAAAATGTTTGCATGTTTGTCTCAGTGTAGCCTTCTGTAATATGAATATAAAATATTTTGTACCTTAAAGAAATGTTGTGACAATCAAATGAAAAAATGCAAGTAATGTACTCAAAAGAGTGCCTGGAATGTAGCACCAGTCTAGTAAATGTTAGTCTTGAAGATGATGAGGAGGAGGAAGATGGTCATGACAGAAGATAATAATAACAATGACTCATCTTGCCTCTGGTGACAAAACAGTTTTCTACACAGTGGGTGATGCTTCTGTCTCTTAGCGGAAACATGTTTTTCTGAAAGACAATGAGATATGTATAATGGGAAGGCTTACCTCAGCCAAAGCAATCTGTTGAACCTATCCAATCTGTACTTTCTGCATTGCTGTTACTACGTTGATCACCGTTGACTAATTTGTAGGATAATTTCTAAAGGAATATGCATATGATGTCCTCTACTGAAAATGGAAATATGGATTATTTATCATATTCTAGGAAACTTCATGTCTTATTTTCTAATGGATTTTAGGACTGGGCATCCTATAGCTGGCAGAAGGGATATATCCAGGCTCCTATAATCTTGTTAGCATGACTTTCACAGGAAAGGTATATTCTTTCCATCCAAAGCCTCTAAATTCATTCTCTCTCATGCATTCCACTTCTATACTCACCTTCAATGTGGATGTGAAGTCAAAGGAGTCCTTATACCACACTTAGTCTAAAAGATTGTCTGCCAATTTATTCAAAGTAATTAAAGAAACCTTGGCTTCAAATGTAGAACCCAGCTAAACCCCACAATTTTCCAGAAATTTTTAAAGCACCTTTCTGTTTTAGTGGTTATCATTGCCAAGAAAAATATCTTTTTTAACACAAAGATACTCAATTTTAGAAAATTTGTTCTGTTTTTAGACACCCTCTTTATGTTGTGTTTGACTTCATATCAGCTAGAGACAGGGATTGTCTTCACAAATAATGATAGCATTAAAACACTTAACATTAGTAAATGGAGAAAAAGTGCAATTCAATAGCATGTTCTCAAATTTAACCAAAACTATTATTACTGACTTACTAGCAAATGTTTAAGAGGAATTGGAGAAGAGAGTTCCTAAGCTATTTCAGGTTCTCTTTGGAGATCTTATGAAGTGAACCTTAGAAGATTATTTTTTGTGCTAGCAACTTGTAATTTAGAAACTAAGCAAAATTAAGACAATAGGTGATCAGAACTGAAATAAGCTATGAATAGACAGGAGCATTTTCACAGTATGGAACAGGCTTACTGGGAGGAGAATGGGCATGAGGTTAATAACTTAAGTATGATATGAATGAAAAGTAGGTCATTGTAAAAGTTTTTATAGAAAACTATAGTTCCTCA